CAAACACACACACCACACACACAAACATACGAACACAAACACACATATACCCACATAGATATATACAGACCCCTTTTCTCTTACCCTCTTCCTTTCTTTCATTCTTTCGTTCTTTCTTCGTATATTTCTTTTTTTCTTTTTTTCTTTCGTTCTTTCTTTCTTTCTTTTTCAAAACGTTAAAAAATAAGAAAAAAATTCCTTCTCAAGAAAAAACCGAAGCGAAAAAAGTGGCAAAAATGTTTATCAGTCCATCTGCACTGCAGTGAGGGAGGCCTTCAGACCTCGTTAAGAAACTTTTTCTGGCACCACGACCTCCCTTATTCATCGTCCGCCTTTTTCTTTAAATTTAAATTCCTGAATTTTACATAAGTGCAAGAGAGAGAAAGAGAGAGAGAGGAAAAAAGAAAGTAAGAGAGAGAAAGAAAAAAAATATAGAGGAAAAGAGCAAGAAAGAGTATAAAAAAGGTGAGTGATTGAAAAAGATACAAGTTTAGTTTGTATGGCTATGTATGTATGTATGTATGTATGTATGTATGTATGTATGTGTGTGTGTGTGTATGTATGTACGTACATACGTATGTATAAAAATTTAAAGTTAAAATCTCGAGGGTAATTGATAATAGGAAGTGATGCTGATGGGCTTTGAGGTCTTCGCTGGCACTTTTTATTTTTCTTTTCTCTGTTTTTAGCACTTTTACCTTTTCATTGTTTCTCTCTCTTACTTTTTCTCTCTTTTTTTCTTTCTTTTTTGGTCTCTCTCTCTTTTTGCATTGTGACTTTCTCACTTTTTATCTTTCTCATTTTGTTCCTCTTCATTCTTTTCCCGTTCTTTTTTATCAATTATTCATTTTTGTTTTTTTTTCTTTTTCTCTCTCTCTCTCTCCTTCTTTCTCTTTTTTTCTGTGTTAATCTCTACGTCATAACCACATTGCTTATCATTTGTCATCGTCATCAACATCACCTTCATCACCATCGTCATCGTCGTCGTCGCCATCATTGCTTAGCATCCATCAGACGACATCCAGTGGGCACACATTTGCATGCTAGGTTTTTTTTTTTATGTTTTTCACTCATCAACTTTCAACCTAACATTCATGCCATCCAGATCGTCATCTTCATCATCTTTATCATTGTCGTCGTCATCTTCATCATCGTCGTCGTCGTCGTCATCATCATCGTCATCTTGGTGTTGCTGAAGTTCTTATCATGATAATTATTATTAGAGTTAATAAGTTAAAATGATGAGGATGATTGATTATTATTATTGTTGTTGTTATTGTTGTTGTTATTGTAATAATTATTGTTATTATTATTGGTGTTAGATATATAAATAGATGCTTATTTGACAGCGTTCCACTATGAATTTGTTCGGTGTCAAAATGTTAGGCGAACTTTTATATTCAATAGAACATCATTGTGTGTGTGTGTGCGTGTGTGCGTGCGTGTGTACGTGTGTGCGTGAACAAGTTTATATGTGTCACTAATTCTTGCTTTTGTATGTGTGAGTGCGGGCGTTTTTTCTGGTTTTATTGTGCTATAGATGGTAATATTGCTTAAGTGTGTGTTTGTGTGTGTGTGTGTGTGCGTGTGTGGTGTGTGTGTGTGTGTATGTTTCTGACATGGAATCCTAGAACAATCCTGCTTTAAAGGTATTTTTGGTTTTTGAAAACGTTTTTGCATGCGACTGCCAATGGTTTTATTACGTTTTAATGTTCACATTTCTTGTGCGTACGTGTGCGTTTCGTCTTTCTATGAGTGTGTATGTTTTGGCCAGTTATACGTATGTATATACACGCACACATAATATAAAATAATTATAATATAAAAAATATTACATCGCAATAATATAATATAATATAATTTTTTTACTTCATAATTATATTCCAGTAGCAGCAATTACGGTTGTGGTAAGCATCGCGTGTTTGGTCGGGGCGTTCATATTCCTGGCCGGCCTCTGCTACATCAGAAAGTGAGATCTGACGACGATCGTCATTATTATTATTATTATTATTTATTATTATTACTATTATTAACGAATTTATTACTATTATTATTTGTTTATAAAAATAACAATAATTATGATTGTTATTTGTTTATTTTTATTTCGTAATTATTGAAATTAGAAGGGAATCGTGACTGGCGTGTTTATATCACCATCTCGTTCTTTTTTCTTTTTGTTCTAACTCATCTTGGTTGTTTGCTGGCATTGATGACAAATACATCGTTATAAACGTAGCTATTTATTATTATTGGTAGTAGTAGTGGTAGCAGTAGTAGCAGTACTAGTAGAGGTAGTAGAAGAGTAGTAGTAGTAGTATTAATAGTAGTAGTAGTAGTAGTAGTAGTAGTAGTAGTAGTAGTAGTAGTAGTAGTAGTAGTAGTAGTAGTAGTAGTAGTAGTAGTAGTAGTCATAGTAGTTTTATGCTATATGATACTTTTAGTAATGATGGAATGAGTGTAAATGGTTAAATTGATCAGCTAATTAAATTAATAATTAGATAGTTAATTATTTATAATTATAATTGTTCATTTATTTATATTTTTCTATAAATAAATAAAAATATTTACGGTCAAAATCATTTTTCTTTGCCAATCCATCCAGGCAAAGAAAGATAATAAACTCGAAAAAGCAGCAATTGTTGCAGGAGAAATGCGCTCAGCACGGCTACAAAACAGACAAACTTCCGGCGGAAGTGGATTACTCACGTGACAGACAATTATTTCCGCTTGACAATCAACAGCAGCAGCAGCAGCAACAGCCTCATGACTATCGTGAGCGCTTTTCTGAAGATATAATTGAAGAGAATGATTATGCGTACGTTGACGAACTGTTGCAGGCACCAGTTGATAAGTTGCCGCAACAAGTTGATAAACAACTAGACGGCAACATTGTACCGCAACCACAACAACAACCACAACTGCCACATCTACCGCAACAACCACAACAGCAACAACCACAACAACAACAACGTAATGTAACTTTCCAGCAACAACATCAACAATTTTTCTACCTTCCCGAGTTCTCTAACTTCAAATCTTCACCCAAATTAACAAGAGCCATTCTATACAACCCGCCGATAAGTCAACAACAACAACAGCAACAACAAATTTTTCAACAACAACAACAACCAATATTGCAGCAACCACAACAACTACAACAGATCTTGAAGCCGCAGCAGCAGCAACTGCAACCACAACTTCCGCAGATAACATCGGAACAGCAGTACAACCCAGGCCAACATTACGAGAAATATAATAAATAGAAATTTACGGAATGAATTGATAAATTTATTTAAATTAACAATTAAATGAGGCAATAAAATTGATAATTATTATTAATATGAAAAAATAAAAAAGTAATTAATGAATAATATCGGTGTAAATCTTGTTAAAATTTGTGAAAACTTCAACATTGCATACTTTTTTTTTAATTCCATACAAGCCAATAAGCTCTTACGGAGAAAATTTAATTTGAAAACTGATTCCATATAAACCAAACAAAAATACCAAGCACACGTGAAACCATACACATACACACACATACATACCAGTAAACATATACAAACATTTACACACATACATACATATTTTTAACAAACACTTAAACACATTCACATACAAATTAATAAGGACAATTGATATTAACATGTGTAAAATTTTCTAAATATTTAACATTAAAATATGTTAGTTATAAATAATAAACAACATTTCTGTCACTTCTAGCTAATGTTTTGCTGTAACATATGTATATCTAATCTATATTTTAAGTCAAACTATGGTTGAGAAACAAATTTATTTTTTAAAATCACAATCCTTTGCTTAAACACGTGATTTCATTCATTCATTCCTTTATTTATCTTTTCATTCATTCCATTTTTCATTCGTTCATTATTCATTCATTCAATCATTTTTCATTCATTCCTTTGTATACACTTTTGAACATATGTATTTTTTATTAAAAAATGAAAATAAATATTAATATATATATATATATATATATATATATATATATATAAAATCTTTATTTCCGTTAATGATTCTTTTGCTAGCTTAAATTCGTTTTAAGAGTTCAACGTCATTTTTTTGTAAAATAGATTAAAATAAATTAAAATAATAAATCGTTATCATTATTATTACTGTTGTTATTATTATTGTTGCTATTATTGTTGCTGTTATTGTTATTGTTATGATTTGTTTTCAATTAAGTTTTTCTGGTTGAAATAAAAAAATTGAAACTTCTTCGCGTTATTCGGAGGTGATTTTTTTTGTCAAACTATAAAAGAAAAATAATAAATAATAATAAATAAATAAATAAACAATAATAATAATAATAATAATAATTACAATTTTGACAAATAGTTACAAAAATTTGCGTTCACAATTTAATTACAAAATATATCTCGATGGATGAACTCATCAGTCAAGCCGATGAAAACAATTAAAATGAACGACGTCAACAACATCAGAACGACACTAACAACAACAAAATGAGCAAGAACAATGTTTACGACGTTGCCAGCATGAATGACGATACTAACAACTACAACAACAACATCACTAACAATATGGACAACAATAACATCAGCACAGACATTAATGTAAATATCATCAACAATAGCATCAACGTTAACAATGTAACTTTTAATGAGCCAGACATTACACAAGCAGAAAATGTGAACAACTACATTAATAATAATAATAATAATAACATTAGTGCAAACAACGACAGCAACAACAACAACATCAGTACTTGCGATCTAAACAAAAACATCAACACATTCAGCTACAATGCAACCGTTGAAAATATAACCAACAACAACATTATAAATAACAACCACAACAACAGCAATATAAACTTAAACAACGGCATAAACAACAGCTTAAGCAGCAGTTTAGACAACGTAAACACCGAAACAACAACGACAAACTCATTAAGTGAGACTAGTCCGTCTAATGAGACCGCTGCAGATGACGATTCTATCGCAGACAATAATTTTGTTTCTGCTAATACTACCGCCATTCAGGCAGTAAACAACAACATCCTTGACATTAACGACGACGACAACAACATTCAAATTGATGACAATTGCAACATTAACAATGACGAAAGTAATGTTTCTAGCGATGACAACAACGACACTGCAATACATTTCTGGCAAGATATAACCCAGCGTTCGTCTAACATTAACCAACAAAATTTACAACAAGATTATCAACAACAACTTTTGCAACAACACCAACAACAGCAACAAGTTATCAACAAATTTTATCTGATCAAAAGTCAGAACCCCAATATACCTATCAGCACTTACTTCAGTTTCAACAAGATTGTATCCAGCAACAACAACAACAACAGCAACAATTGCTACATCCTAATTTGCAGGAACAGCAGCAAAACCCACACGAACAACAACAAAGTTGCCAGCAACTTCTATACCCAGGCGATGTTGTCTATTCTCTTCCAGAAAATGTAAACCTGATACATTACTTGTTTCAGCAACATCTCACTCTGCAACCACACAATCAACAACAACAACCGCATGAGGGACAACAAGAAACACAACAACAGTTCAACCACATTCAATTATTTCAGGAATGTGAACAACAAATATCCGATCACGAATTGGTTGCATCAATTCATGACATTAACAGCACAGACATCAACAACAGCCCAGACATCAATAACAACAACGCAGACATCAACCCAAACATTAACAACAACAAAATCAACATTTCCGACTACCACACTGCTACTAAACCAACTGAAAAATCACCATCACCATCGTCGTCATCTTCGTCGTCAAAACAATTCACCACAATACCTCTCACGACTGAAATAAATTCAACCGCAGATCTTATCATCATCCCCAGAGAAGGAAACAACGTCTGCCATCTGACGAACGAATTACAACAAGAAATCCGGATCACCGGATCGAAGAAGCGGAAGAACTTCGTGCCATTCAGAAGTCCAGAAAAAGTGGGTGAAAATTTCAAAGGAGCCAGGATTATGATGAAGTATGTAAGAAAGGGAGATGGATGGGAATTCGTCACCGAACCAATCTTCTGGTTAACTTTATTTTCTTGAAAATGTTTGAGTTAAAAATTCTACGATAACAGTTTCACGTTTATTTGTTCTAATCAGAATATTTGATTTAGCGGTGCAAATTTTCATATTTGAAAATATAAATAAAAAAATGCAAAATAATAAAAATAATTCCATAATTTTTTATAATAATTAACAGTGTGGTTTTATTAATCGTAAAAATTTGTTTCCTAATTGTAGTAACATGAAGACAGCACCTCAAAAACAACAACAGCAACACTTGCAACAACAGCAACAACGTCGGCAACAACAATTGCAACAACCACAACAACAACGTAGAAAAGCGTTTCCACTCATGGGTGCGTACGACGACGACAAACGCACCTACAATCGTCATAATCTTCATTACCAACAACATAAACAGCATCAACAACAACATCAACAACAATCGACGTCATCAATGGCGGGGCAAAATATAGGACCACCTTACAAAAAAACAGCCCCTCAAACCTGGCTGAACCCCAAACGAGCCGTCCCTTCAGCGTACCGTTATTCTTTTGATAGCCAATCAGAAAGTGACTCTTATGAAAATCAGGTCAGTCGACCAGCTGACTATCGTCCGTGCAATCGGCCAGGTCAATGGTCAAACCAACAGGTCAATCGGTCGGAAACTTTTCCTCCGCCCACGCAAAGGGTTGCTAGATTTTGGAAGAACTCTTGTGAGTTTATGGTGGTGACGATAATGATGACAATGATGATGATTGTGGTGATAATGATTACGATAATGAAGATGGTAATAATGATTACGATAATGATGAAATGATGATAATGATAATAAAGATGGCGGCAATGATGATAAAAATCCTAATCTAACTCGTTAATTATAAAAAGAAATAGTTTAAATCTCGTAATTTTTTAGACTGCGGAAAAGAGTGCGCGTCGTGTAACGTGAAGAAAACACCCCTCTGGAGGGACGCGGAGGATGGCACGCCCCTTTGCAATGCTTGCGGCATCAGGTTAAGAGGGATAGCCAAAAGGGCTATAAAAATCCAAGAGAGGGTAGCCAAGAGGATTTTCAGAAATTCAAGTCCTAAATCTAAGCCCTTAATCTAAGTCCTTAATCTAAGTCCTAAATCTAAGTTCTAAATCTAAGTTCTAAATCTAAGTTCTAAATCTAAGTTCTAAATCTAAGTTCTAAATCTAAACGAACTATCTTTTTTATTTACTTCCTATTCTGATATGGTAATTTGGTCATTTCATTTTGATGATGTGGTGATATTTTCTTTTCAAAAATTAAAAATTAATTCGATTTATTGTATTAAATTCAAAATCAGTTTAACCCTAAAAAAGAAATATCGCGAATTATAAAATAACCTGAAAACAAATTGTAAATTACAAAATAATTTTACAATGAATCATGAATTATAAAAAAAATTTTAAAAGAATTTAAAAAAAGCTCTAAAATGAATTGTGAATCATTTTTCAATCTAACAGATACAAGAAATATCGCATACGATGCAGCCACTGCTGGCACATTCCGAAAAGGAGCCTGAGACCTTACGGCTTGTGTTCCCGCTGTGATAAATTGATGTGATGAAGGCATCAACATACAACAACGTCATTACATTAATTTGCATAATAAGAACATACAACATTACACTAACGAACATTACATTTACATACATAATAGCAATATATGACTTACACCATGCATTGCATTAACATACAATAACATCATTACCTCATAATTTAATGTTAAACTTTTTATAATAGGATAAGTTTGCATGAATAACATGAATAGAAGGTGGTTGGATACTGTCAGAACACCAACGATTTGTATACCAAATATAAAACTTGGATGATTTTTGTATCCTAAATTAATGTTTATTTCGATTTGTTGGCATAACTATTTTTGTTTCATTCATATTTATTTAAGACAGGGAGAACTTAATTTTATTTTTTTAATTATTTAAAAATGGTTATTGGTTATTTAACAAAAGTATTTATTAGGAGGTGATGTAATTTTTGATCTTCACAATTTTTTTGTTTCCTGCCATTAAATACTTTCTAAGATCGTATGAAGGCACTTTCTATTTTGAACGTTTTCATTTTGAAATAGTTTTAATTTAAAAAAACTTTCACTATAAATCAGCATGTATTGTTTCTGTTTTGAATTACGGCTTACATTATAATTATTATTTGGAATTGTATTTAATAAAAATAAACGTACTGTTTTATTTCAATTCTTGCGTTGAGCGTGGTAAATATCGGGCGGAGTATTTATTGCTGCACCGTCTGATTATTCCGTGGATATATTCACACATCCATGCATAGTTACAAAAACTGTTTACCATAGCAACGTCTTTATATTATCGCTCAGTCGAAATTTTTATCAAAAAATTACAAAATTGACTTATATTTTAAACGATGTTAATGTTTATCAACAAATATTTGTTTTAAACAATGGCGGAGGAGGCAATTTTCGATACCATTGGTGCTTTCGGCGAACAAAAGAGCATGGGAGATCAGGTCACAATGAGCAGGATAAACATAACAATCGATAACGTACAACCATTACAGTCGATTGCAAAAAACAGAAAATATGTTAAAGTAATTGATTATGCATTTTTGGGTGACCAACAAAATGAAGAAAACGATGAGGAGGAGGATGAAAAGGAAGACTCGAAGATGGGGAAAGAATTGAATCTGGAAAATGTACCCTTCATTGACAACGACGGCGACGATGACAACCTTATCTTGGATGTTGAACGTGTGGAAATTGAATTTAATAGGTCGGATGAAGATAATTTAGTTGTTACTTTATCGCGTGACGAGTCGAACCTGGCAACTTCAGATGAATTCGACAATGTCGTGCTGACAGCGAAAGTCACTGAACAATTTTATACTGGTGTTACAACTGATCCCTTGTCGAAAACATCACCATTTGTCAGCGAAACAAAAAATGTTTCAAGTAACACAGAGAAAATTAGCGTTGAAAATAGTCAGTTCATTGAAATCAGTCGTGTTCATGACGATCCTCCCAAGCAAATAATTCAACTCAATTTAGACCCAACGCTAAAAGATGAAAAATTTCATTTAATTTCGTACGCCGACGCACTACAAAGTCTACCAGCATCAAAAATCGTCGTTGAATATCCAGATTGTAACGTTTCTACACTGCCGACAGAAGAAAAACCATTTTCGCTCTGGAAATCCTTTGTAAATTACTTCGTGAAACCTCCGACACTTGGTAGTAATTTAATGGAAGAGAAGAATTACGTGCTGCTACTGGCAAATATTTCTTTACCGCCAATGACCAGCCCCAGCGTAAATATTTTAAAAACCTTGTTTGTAACCCTAACAAATAAAACTGCAGAGTTTTCCACGTTCTTCGGCGGTCACTGGACAGAGATTGGTTTTCAGGGATGTGATCCAGGAACTGATTTAAGGAGCGGTGGAATGTTGGCCTTGTTGCAGTTACTTTATTTCGTTACTACACCAAATACGTTCAAGCTTTCACAATCCGTCTTCAAACTCTCTAAAGATCCTGTTCAAAATTTTCCATTTTCTTCTGCTGGAATCAATTTCACAGTTCTTTGTTTAAACTTTTTACACAATGAAAGATTGAATAAATTGTGCATAAGCGAAAAATCAGTATTAACAGGAATGAACAAGTTGTACGTCGCTTTTTTCACTAGATTCCACAAAATTTGGCATTTACAGAAAAAATCAGTTTCTGATTTCGGTTCGGTGTTGAACAATTTAGAGAAAGAAGCAAAATCAAACATTTCGAAATTTTTAAAGTCTTCTTATCACGAATTAAAAGAGTTCAACGGTCCAAAATAGATTAAAAATTTCAAACTTATTGTTAATTTAAAAATCCGCACGTAGGTGATCGTTTTGAAGTATTCATAAATAAACTGCTGTCTGTTTTGTCCGTGTGAACAGTCATTCCTTTCAATATTTTCCAAACTTGCAGGCTTTTCGCAGTTCGTATATTCGTTCGCCAGCCTCATTATCTTAGAATTATCGCAATTTTTACTCTACTCTTACTTTTAAAGTACAATGTGCATGTGTGTTCGTTCATTTAGCTTTATTTAGATCATTTTAAATGAAGGATTTACATTTTTTCAACATCTTACATGTTAAATGTTTTTAATCTACAAATTTCATTTTGTTATAAATGTATAAAAGTTAAGGGGTTTTACGAAGATCTTTTTCTCTTTTTTCAACAAACATACATTTTTCAGTTTCTTGTAATCATACTATCAATGTTGTTGCTTCTTAATGTTATAATAACAATGTTAACAACAGTCATCATTACAATTGTGGGAATTGTTTTCATAGTATTCTGAATGTAAAAGATTTTCTTAATGTGATCTCACTTAATGTTAGCTATCTTTCTTACTGTGATCTCACTAAATGTTGTCACTTTTTGTTAATGTGATCTCATTAATATTATCATTGTAAGTACGTTCGGCGAACCCAAAGAAAAGCATTTAAGAATTCATTTCGTACGTGATTCTTTAGATGCTTTTAGATTCTTTATGCAGTGATGGGTTTTTTCATATTACGAAAATAGATTTTCTTTTCTTTTTCTCTGTTCATTTATTTTTTTTCTATATTTCTTTTTATTTTTTTTTCTCCCAAAATATCTCTATTATTTATGATTATGTTGTATTTTTGCTTTCATATATTGTCATTAATGTTGAATGTACGATATTATGCTGGAGAATTAATGTTATAATAAAATAGTTTTTAATTATAATATCGGTTTCATTCATTCATTCATTCATTCATTCATTCATTCATTCATTCATTCATTCATTCATTCATTCATTCATTCATTCATTCATTCATTCATTCATTTATTCATTCATTCATTCATTCATCCATTCATTTATAAATTTCAATTTTAATTTCGGCATAGAAATTTAATACCCAGCGTGTAACATGGCAACAGCACATGTTGATCAGACCGCCAACGAAAATATTGGCCAACGTAGTTTATAGGTCTCGAGGTACATTGTGATAATATACCTCCTAGCTATATTTCGTCTGTGCATTCATTCATTCTCACGAATTGAATGAATTTCACTCGATTAAAACTCGATTAAAGAGATAGATTAGATACAGAGAGAGAGAGAGAGAGAGAGAGAGAGAGAGAAGAGAGAGAGAGAGAGAGAGAGAGAGATTGTGAGAACGCGTAAAATAAAGATGGACAAAGACAGAAGAACAATAACAGCATTAATAAACATAATGAAAATAATTATTATAACTGTAAAAATTGAAATTAAATGAAATAAGATTTATGAGTGGCCGAACAAAAATATGAAGCCTTGCTAGGTATTGTTATATTGCGAGTGTGATTAATCATCTCAGTTCTCGTTTTGTTCAATGCAACCCAACAGAGAATGTTTAACTCTGCCGTTGTTGCTGAATTGAGAATACTGTTACAACCGCGAGAATGATCGAATTACTCTATATAATTACTTATTGTTATCTTGTTATGTTTGTTATCTTCGCTATTTGTGAACTTTAGAATCTTTTCATACCTTAGAGGATTGTAAAAATTTACTCTAAAGGGTATATAAAGAGATATGAGTAGCGAGATTAGTAGCGTGGTTTGAAGTGTAGTTGTAGTAGTCTGAAGTAACGAGCGTTAAAGTTTGCAACAACATTTTGTTGACAATGTGACTTAGCATGATGCAGTTATAATTTGTAATGTCTATAATACTTATATAATAGAATACTTTTATTCGAGCATGTACTTTCTTTTTTTTATAGTTTTTCAAGCATTCCATCCGGTTGGAACGCGTAGAAAAATGACTCGCCATTCTTGGAATTAATAGCTTTTATGTTATAAAACTCGCATTTTTTCTCGTTTTCTCTCTCTCTCTCTCTCTCTCTCTCTCTCTACCATGTGCAGAAGTAATCCATCTATCCACCACACCAATTGTTCGGTGTCGTGAAATAATTGTATATTCCTACATATACGCAGGTATCTCATTAATATTCATGTTCAGTGACGTTTGAATACTGATTAGCTATTTAATTATTCATGGCTGTGCGCGAATGATGAATGGTTATCAGAGCTGTGGTGTTAAGTTTCGGGGCTCGGGTATTATGGAGAAAGGGTATGGTTAACGAGCGCGCTGTGCATTTTATAAATTTCTATTAGTCACGTGATTAATTTGTTCTTATTTGTTTGTTTGTTCTTGTTTGTTTGTTTGTTTGTTTATTCTTGTTTGTCTGTCTGTTTGTCTATGTCTATGTTTGCTTGTTTGATTTGGAATGAAATTACACAAATGACAATCGCGTTGACTGTTAATGTTGTTTAAACTAACAATGAAAAGATTGATTAACAAAATATAATAGTTGCCAGGGCATCGCCAACAACATAAACAACAACTACTACAACAATGATGACATAAACAACAACTACAACAACATCAAAAACTGCAGCAACAACATCAACGATAACATAAACAACAACTATAACAACATCAAAACAGCAACAACAACAACCTATCCTCCAATCTGCCACCAACCGCATCACCATTAGACTGACCACTGCACATCCGGTCATTTCTAGATGTCCTCTCGCTAAAATTATTTAATCTTGATCTATCGCATTTAAGCCTGCGGGTGCTACAACGTAATTGAAGAAGCTATAAACCCTGTGGTAGCACGCACACATGCGATCACACAAACACGTTCACGCACGCACAAACAAACAAACAAAGGTACATACACAAATATGTAGAATAAAAAATAAACATAGAATATTTTATAAGTAACAACAACAACACACACACATACACACACACACACATACATATATATATATATATATATCCAGGCATACATACATCTTTACATACATACATACCTACATACATACATGCACTTGTCCGCATGCATACAAATAGACGCATATACATACACACACACGTTATTAAAAATAAACACACGTACACCTAAACAAGCACACAGACGTACACACACGTACACACACACGTACACACGTACACAGGCACACACAGACGCACACAGATACTCAGAAACATTGATTGGTAATTGATCGGATCGGTGGATAAGATCGCCGACAATTCTTTGGCAACGTTCCTACAAAAATAAATCAACAACCCGAGACCGAATAATAATAATAAATAATAATAAATAATAATAATAAATAATAATAATAATAAATAATAATATTAACAACTCAGAAATTGTTATCCAACTTTAAATGGAAATATTGAATTATATAATAGAATACAGTTGTCGAATACAAACCATTGATATTGGAGAGGGTGTAAAATTGAATCATAGCAACATCATTATCGACAGCTTCATCATCATCTTCTTCTTCTTCATCATCAACCTGATCATAATCATCATCAACATCATCATCCTCTTCATCATCATCATTTTTCTTCATCTTCAGCATCATCTTCTTCTTCATCAACTTCATCATTCATCGTTATTGTCTTGCGATAATTCTCACACAAACATCATCTCAGCCATCATTACAACCACTGTTATTATCATCTTTAAATTTTCGGCTTTTATAAAAATGTTATTGCAGACACGTGCGGTGTTTAGTAACACCTTGATATTTATAACGTTTGACTGGCTTGCTTCCCGCCTTCTTTTGAGATGTTCGTCCTGCTTCTGAAAGCTAGAGAGGCTAAAATATTGCTGTCGTTATTGCTTGTTCGTCCGTCATATCTGTCTGTCTGTCTCGATGGTTTATTTTATCATTATTATTGTTGTTGCTGTTGTTGTTGATGTTGTTGTTGTTGATATTGTTGTTGTTGGTGTTGTTGTTGATGTTGTTGTTATTGTTTTTATCTTTATAACTGCCGGAATGATCATATTGCGCTGGTTCTTGTTAACTTTGCTATATTTGTAATCTTTGGATGGAGGATTGTAAAGAAATATTGAATCTATGCTAAAAATCTAGTCAAGTGTTACAACAATATTATTATTAATAATTCTCTCCTAGTACATTCTAAGGCGTATCAACAACACACGCACATTGAATGTGCGTGTGAATGTGCGTGTGTGTGAATCTAAGCAACACGTTTTTTCCAATTGGTTGATTGCTTTTTCCATTCTTTTCAACCTGTCTCTTTATCCATCAATAAGTTTTGAAATTTATATTTTATTGTAGTCGTTCCAATACTGTCTGCCACGTCATCTTCATTCTTCCGGAGAAAAAAACCTGCACGAGCACGTGACTAATCTAAAAATAAATAAACTTTTTTCCTCTTCCTTTTTGACAGTGGTTGATAGGAAAGAATATATTTTCAAAAACGGTGAATGAAAAATTTCTTTCAGCAGCAGTTGAAAAAAAAGACATTGAGAAACTATTCAAACAATATATGAAACACAAACACACACATGCAAATATAGAGATATACACACGCGCGCACGCACACACATACATTTATAGAGCTACACACACGCACGCACACATTACAAATATAGAGATACACATACAAACGCAAACATATTTTGACATAGAAACACACATACACAGAGTAGTGTGGGTTGATGAATTATTATTTGTAAAAGCCCTTAAAGATCACCTATCATTTATTTTTCTTTCTTGCAGAAATGAGTCTTATAAATTTTGAAATTTTTTAAAGATGTTTTCTACTTTAAAAAATTCAATTATCTATTGGTTAAATAACTATTTAGAAAGCAACAACCTAAATATAACTTATTAAAAATGCCCGAAGTTTAATGTTAATAGCCTTAAAATAAAATTAAGCTTCATTATTTTCAATTTTATATAAAATTTCTTTCTAAATGTAAAATTAAATTTGAAAAATTCGAGGAATGAAACGTTAAAAAATGTTCGTCATGGAGCTTTAAACGTCACTCAAATGCCGATATACTCAATGTAACAACATTCTTTCAAACAATAACTAAAAAATTTTTTTAATATATTTTTGCGATTTCTTTAAAAAAAACTAATGTAAAACTTGCAGTAGACAAATTTATTTTCTTATAGATAGATCACGAACATAAATTTGCATTCTTTTTCTTTTAAAACGCGTTCTTAGGCACCATATTCCCAAAGGAAAGAACTTCTTCTTCATGATGTCTGTAATTAGTGCTTGCCAGACGACGGCTGAATGTTTTTTTTTTGGAAGACATACATAATATTGTATGGGTATTTTTCTCGCAACAACGTGGGCGTTTTGTTTTTTGTTTTGTTTTTTGTTATATGTCTTCTTATTATTTGTTTTAATTATCATTTTTCTGTTAGATCTATAAATTTTAGAGGAAAAATATCTAGACAGAAACATGCTAATGAATAAAAATTTTTATTTTGCACCAACCAGGAAAAATTTCTTTGTTTCAACAAGCTACAAATTTTAAAATCTACACTAAAAAAATGAATGAAAATTAAATTTTTAAAAAAAATTTCCGAGAACCAATTAGTAAGAAAAAAAAATTTTTTTCGATTTCTTAAGCTCAGCACAAAAAACTAAAAAAATATCATACGCGAAAAACTTAGAAAAAAAACACACAATTGAATCAAGCAACAAAACTTCAGCAACAATTCTACCGCAACTACATGTGTTAAGTATAAGCAACATGTGATATAACGTCATATATATGTGTATGTTTGTATATATTTATATGTGTGGGTGTGTATCTTTCTCCCTCTCTCTCTCTCTCTCTCTCTCTCTCTCTATCTCTATCTCTCTATCTCTATCTCTGTGTGTGTGTGGTTTGATGTACTAAATGAATGATATAATTATACATTAACTTATATTTTCATTGCAATGTTGTCTTCTTATATATCATAATTCTCGAGAAAAACATCACAGGGCTAAATATTCTATCTATATATAATAATTCATATTAATATTAATATTAATTATAATAATTCATATTAATATTAATTATAGTTATGAGTTTTTTCATGATGTAATATAAATTATAGATATTAAAAGGTAATAATACAAAATGAAGGAATGTTTGATATTTGAAATTGCACGAGAGGTCTTTTAGATGCAGAATACCATATATAATAGAATCACATCACAATAAAAATTTTCCAAAAACTAATATTTACAAAAAAATATTTTTATATTTTATTTACTAAGTTTATTATGTTGAAAAAATTTTAAATTAAACGATTATGGCGATGGTATGTGTTTGTGAGAAATTGTGTGTACCTGTCTTTGGGTGTGTGGAAGCATGTGTGTGTGTGCGTGTTTGTGCGTGTGTGTGTGTTTGTGCGTGTGTGTGTGTGTTTGTGTGTGTGTGGTGTATTTGTGTGAAATTCAAAATAAACGAATACAATACATACACACACACACACACAAACATATGCCCATACCAAATGTACACACACACCTACATACACAAAAATCACACATACTTAGATATAGATACAAAACCTACATACGTACAAACCATACATCCGCACAAGCATACAAAATACAAACATGGCCAATAATAATTTTTAAGTTTTAGAATTTTTATGTATTTTTCTATTTCCTCACCAACACACTGTTTGCGTAGCGTCAGCCGGGAATACCTTGGATAAATATAATTATTATTGTTGCTGTTGTTTATTATTATTGTTATTACCTTCTGGTTGGTATTTAAATTATTTCATGTAAAATTTATATAAGTAGTAATAGCAGTATATGCAACAGTAGAGATAGTAGTTGTAGCAGTGGGCTTTTTAAAAGTAGTAGTAGTCGTAGTAGTAGTAGTTGTAGTAGTAGTAGTAGTAGTAGTAGTAGTAGTAGTAGTAGTAGTGGTGGTAGTAGTAGTAGTAGTAGTGGTAGTAGTAGTAGTGGTAGTGGTAGTAGTAGTAGTGGTAGTGGTAGTAGTAGTAATAGTAGCTGTAGTAGTAGTGGTAGTAGTAGTAGTGGTAGTCGTAGTAGTAGTAGTAGTGGTAGTAGTAGTGGTAGTAGTAGTAGTGGTAGTAGTGGTAGTGGTAGTAGTAGTAGTAGTAGTAGTAGTAGTAGTAGTAGTAGTGGTAGTAGTAGTAGTAGTAGTAGTAGTAGTAGTGGTAGTAGTAAAAGTGGTACGATGATGAGAGCGGCAAAAATGTTTTAAGAATTTACATCAAAGTGAATAAAACTCGCAAGACCATTCCTATCCATAACAAGTGCACTATGAAAATAATAATAATTATTATTATAATTATAATTGCAATTAAAATAATAATAATTATTATTATTATTACAATAATAAAAAAATAATAAATAGTAATTGTGATGACAATTTTAATTACATTAAAAGTAACGCTTTATTTCTAAAGTAGAGTCAAACGAAAATCAAAAATAAAATTTTTCTCTTAAATTATTTTATGTGAAATTACTTTATTATTATTGTTAATTCTATAGTTAATATAATTATAATTATTATAATAATAATTATCATTATTATTATTATTGTTTATGATCCAACTCCCTCCTCTTAAAGAGCAAACAGACACGAAGCACATGCAGCCATCGATTTAATGAATTTCATTCTACCTGGCGAAAATGTCATTTTCATCATCATACTCGTTCTCTTCCTCCTTCTCATCATTATCATCATCATCATCATAAACTCCGCTAGTATCATTATCATCATCACCATTATCGTTACCATAACCTTATCTGGGTCCTTTTTACTGAAGTAATTTTCATTATTATATGTGTAAAGCTTCTTATGCTTTCGAGACAAATTTGTTAGCATTAGATATTCATCGTCATTACAATCATGAACAAGACTGTCATCACCGTTATCATCATTTCTCTATCATTATTATCATCATCATCATCCTTATCTTCATCATCTCATTCTTACCTTCATCATCATCATTCTCATCTCATCCTCATCATCCTCATCTCATCCTCATCATCATCGTCTTCATCATCTCTTTAACCATCATTTTATAGTCATTCTCAAACATCACCATAACTTCTAGACCAAGATCAATGTCGACTCTTATGTGACTTGACACTACTCGATTTACTTTTCGTTGAAGGTGATGGTGGGGGTACAGCCCCCGCACCGACTGATCCGCCAGAACCACTAACTTGGCCTTGACTTTCATTCGGACTCAAGGTCATAGGCGATGACGGTCTGCGACCCAAGAGATTGTGATGATTTGGATGAAGAGATGAAGATGGTAGTGGTGATGACGACGGCGACGACGATGAAGCGCCTGCAGCTGCGGTCATGGTTGTCTGAACTTGCGAATAACGTCTTTGTGGCGATTTGTCGCTTCTGCTTGGAGAGGGGCTGCTGTCTCCTGACCTCCGTGAAGGGCTTTTGCAGGAGCCCTTTTTCTCTGTGGATAAGTTATGAGGGATTTTGTGCGAATTCTTTAGCTTATAATTTTATAGTATGATTTTAAGTTATTTTGATTGTTTGGATGTTTTATAACAGCGTTGACAATGATGTTTGATGTCAAATTAATGTTAGAATAAGTAGTGTAATGATACTAAAATAACATTAAGTTACATTGGCATGTCATCAGTTAATGTCACATCGATTAAATGTTTATAAATTAGTCTAATGTAAGCTTATTTAATGTAACGTAATGTCACTGCAATGTAATGTTACACCAAATGTAATAATGTTGCATATTGGGTTATTGCTGCTTATAATGCGACCTCTAGATTTGATTTATTATAAAATATTCAATCTTTAATCAATGGTATATTGACGATGTGTTTTTAATTAATATACGGTCATAAATATTTATCGATATGTCAAATGATTCCGAGAGGTAAAATATCGACCCATGTACGTACGTGAATATATATGTCAGTGGGTCAATGGTTTATACAATCCAGGTGAGTTTTTATACATTCCTATAGTTTTTTGAGTGAATGTGAGTGTGTGTGTTGTATGTTGTATGTTTATGTTTGTGTATGTAACTGTTTGTGTATGTTTATGTGTGTGCTGTATGTTTATGTTTGTGTATGCAACTGTTTGTGTATGTAACTGTTTGTGTATGTAACTGTTTGTGTAAGTAAATGTTTGCGTATGCTAATGTTTGTGTATTTTTACCTGTGTACGTTTTGTATATGTACGTTTTTGTGTGTGTAATGTGTATGTGTGTGTGTGTGTGTGTGTTTACTTGCACACATGTGTATGTACATTTACAATTGCGTATGTATTTGTAATACATAAGTGTATAAAATAGACTTAAAGGTGCGTCTGCCTGCGTTTCTGAAGTGTGCGGTGTGTGTTGGAGTGGGCTGATGCGTTAGAACGGAGTCTTTTCCTCCAATTAAATGTGGAAGAAGTTACGCGCATGAAAACCGCAAATGTAATTACGCTTATGTAGCTTTCATGCAATTAGAACTTTGTACAGAAAGTGTATTTCTGCATGTGCTCATGTCTGCAAACGTTCATGCATGTGCTTGTGAGAGTGTGTTTTTGTTAGTTTGTGTTTGTGTGTGATTATGTTTGTGTACCTGATTATGTAAGCGTATGTGAGTGTAAATGTGTGTGTGTGTGTGCGTGTGTATGATAGAATGTGCCATGAAAATTTCATTACAGTCGTCCTGAAAACGCGTTTCCTTTCTCATCAATTTTTCATGTGGAATTTTCACGGACAGGTTACGTTATTATGCTGAGCCTATATTTATGCACGTATGTATTATGTATAAATTACTATGCTGCTGTATGTATTACGGTATGTTCTGGTATGCTATTGCGTCTGCCAAATACGGTATAGAGAGGGAGAGAGAGAGAGAGAGAGAGAGAGGAGAGAAAGAGGAAGAGAGAGAGAGAGAGAGAGAGAGGAGAGAAAGAGGAAGAGAGAGAGAGAAAAAGAGACAGAAAGAGAGAGGGGAGAGAGAGAGAGGAAGGGAGAGGGAATCAAAAAAATGTTTGTATAAAAAAGTGAAAAAAATGACATAAAAGAATAAAGAAAAATTGACATAATAATAAAAAATAGAAGAATAAAGAGAGAAATGAGAAATAAATTTAGAAAGAAAGAAAAAGAGAGAGAGAGAGAGTGTGTGAGAGAGAAAAAAAATGGAAAATAAGAACAAGTAAAATAAAACAATTAAATAATAATAATAATAAAGTATGAAACAAAATTTTTAAACAATGAGAACGAATAAATATATATAGAAAAAAGTCAAAAAATCATAAATCGCATAAACATAACAAACACCATTACATGAATATTTATATATATATGTGTGTGTGTGATGTGCATATATAATTGTGTGTGTATAAATATTTGTGATATTTGTGTGTTTGTGAGTGTCTGTGCGTACTTTTGTGTGTGTGTGTATGTATGTGTGTGTGCGTGCGTGTGTGTGTGTGTGTACGTATTCTTAAAAAATAAAATTTATTTGATGCTATTGATAAAGAGAGAGTGCAGGCATATTCAGCTGGGAAGGAAAGGATTTTTTCATGTCGAGACTTCCATATTTGCTTACGATTTTTCATTTTTGAAAAAAATTATTGTTATTATTATTATTATTATTGTCAATATTATTATTATCTTTTTGTTAACATCATGATTAATAGCGAGGCTTATGAATCTTACTACATTTATATAGGCAGTACATTGTACCATATATTTAGTACTGCGACAGAACGTATAACAAAAACATATAACACGTATAACGCATAACTGAAAACACTGTACTACGTATGTATCTACACACACATTGTACTGCTCTACTTTAAGTACCAGGGAATAAAATTACCTGGCATTTAGAAGTGATGACTCCTTTTTTAACGATTCCACATCTATTCATTCCATTTCTTTATTTTAATGTGCTCCATTTTCCTTTAGAAATTTTACATGTATGTAAGATTTTCTCGCTCTAACTAGCTGCTTTTTTTTAGAATAGAAAGTTTTTTGATAATTTAAATTTTTAATTTTTCTGCTATGATGATTTTTATGCCGTGAAATGAAAATAATAACAAATGAGATTGTTTAATCATTCAAATTCTTGCCTTGCAATCATCGAAGCTATCGTGCACTGTGTACTCTACCTACTGGTAGTTTCGATTTTAACAGGCAATTTATTTCATTTCATTTTTATGTTTCAAAACTTTAAATAACAATTTTTCAGAAATATTGCAACGTCTTAAATGAAATACTAAAGCACAAGTCGTGGCTCAGGTACGCAACATCGGGAGAAAACTTTTTGAAGCATGTCACTCTGGCCGGTGACGCACTGCCACCCAACGACAAATATTATCGCGCTGAGAAGAAAAACGTCCCACAAATATTTACACAGCACTCGTGGAAAACTGAAATAAACAAGAAGAAAAGCAGACGTGTGCAAATAAGCCGAGACCAGTTACATCAACAATTCCTTCTTCTGGTCCGAATGGCGTAAATTTATGTGGCATAGAATGAATTTATTTGGCCAAATTGCGCTTTCGTGTTCCAATTTTGTCATCTTATTCTGCGGAAATAATTTTTTCAGTCTAGCGGGCAAACTCAATAAATAAATATGCAAGCTCCTTCCTACCTAAGCGTCAACAATTATCTTCCTCATCTTCTTTCACAAACTTTTTTTCAAAGATCGATGTCTGAGTGATGTTTGTATGTGCTGATTGTGTGGGCGTATGTGTCTGTATGTGCGTTTGTGTCTGCGATTGTGTGTGCTTATGTGTCTTTATGTGTGTGTGTTTGTTTGTGTGATTGTGTTTACGTATGTGTTCGTGTGTGTGTGCTCATACGTGAATAGATGCTTTGGAAATTGTTTGTGTACATTCCTTGGATTTGCAGAAATGTATTAACTGATATTTTTGTAGACAACATGCGAATAATAAGTGTGTGTATGCGTCAATGTTTGTTTGTGTGTTGCTAGTGCATTTATGTAGTGTGTGCTGTACACAGTTTGTAGATGAGGGAACAAGAGAGAGAGAGAGAGAGAGAGAGAGAGAGAGAGAGAGAGAAGAGAGAGAGAGAGAGAGAGAGAGAGAGATGGGAGTGATGTATGGTCTCTAAACGTGGAGTTCTAAGGTAAATAAGGGTTCATTGAACTGCAAAGTGTGTGAAACAACATATGTGTGTCTGTGTGTGTGTGTGTCCGTCTGTGTGTGTGTCCGTCTGTGTGTGTGTCCGTCTGTGTGTGTGTTTGTTAGTATTTTTATGTATGTGTGTCTGTATTCGTGTTAGCGTGCGTATGTATGTTTAATCTTCATCATTTTCATTCTTATTCTAATCAATTCCACCATCACAATTTAAATTCACATTCAGTATTATTCAAACACCAACTGTCAATTTACTTTTCACACATTGACTTACACAACAGACACACACACACATGTACATCCACACAAACATACATACGCAAATAACTACACACACACGCACATAGACAGAAACAAACGCGTTGCCTAATTGCCGCTAAACATGCTTCCCGCGCTTTCTCCGATCGTAGAGAATCGTCAACAACTTTTCACACAACCGGAAACTGCTTGCAGACCTTTTTCCGGTATGACGTTACTAATTATTCGAATGACATCTATATAATAATATAAATATAATTATTATGTAAAAATTATGAAATAAGTGATTAATCAAAAAACGACAGACCAATATATGTGTGTTTGAGCGTGCGTGCGTGCGTGTGTGCGTGCGTGTGTGTGTGTGTGTTTATTTTTGTTGTATAATAGCGAAAGACATTTTTATGATTTAAGTGAGGCGATTGAAAGCATTGGGTTAAATTTTTTGTGTCTTTGTTGGTGTGGTTGTGTGGATGTTCATAATTTTGAAACGAAACGAAACGATGTTCATAATTTTGAAACGAAACGATGTTCATAATTCATCAGTTGCTGTGTCCTGTTCTTTTTTCAAGTGTCAAAAAACTCCTCATCATTACCATGAACATCATCACTATCATGAACATCATCCCTATCTTAAACATCATTACTATCATGAACATCATCATTATCTTTAGCATCATCACTATCTTCAACATCATTACTATTATTAACATCATCATTATCTTCAGCATCATCATTATGGTAAACAACATCGTCACCATCATTATCAGCACATTCGTTATCATCGTCACAAGCAATCATAAGTGAGTAAAACAAATGCAATGAGTGGATAAGGAATGTAATAAAAAAATGAATGAACTTATTGAATGAAAGAAAGAAGAGACGAACGAATGAATGGGCAAACAAACAAAAGAATGAATGAAAGAATGATAAAATAAATTAAATAAATGAATAAACAAATGAACTAACGCAATAAAACTTGAGCTCCACCGGGCAGAGGCATGCTAATGATGATGAAGAGGATGACTAAGATGATGAAGAAGATAAAGACGAAGATGAAAATGAAGATGGTGTTGTTGTTCGTGTGGATGTTGATAAAGTTGTTGTTGTATTTGTTTATGCTAGAGATGATAAAGAAGATGAAGACGACGATGTTGTTGTTTTTTTTTGTTGATGAGGAAGAAGAAGATGACGTTAATGATGATATTGATTTTGATGTTGATGATGTTGTGTCGTTGCTGTTGTTGTTTGTCTTATTGTTATTGATGATGATGTTGTTGACGATGATGATGTTGTTGATGATGACGATGATGCGCCAAAAATTTTGCCAATGCAATTCTAGAAAAGATGTTGATCCAACGATTATGTCCTTTCGAGTAAACTATTGACAACGTTAATGTTTATAGTGTTGTTGTTGGTGTTGTTGTTGTTGCTGCTTTTGTTGTTGTTGCTGTTGTCGTTGCCAGTTTTGCTTTTAATAACTTTAATCAAATTATTTAGTTGTTTTCCTTGTTTTTATAAGTTATTGTTATTGTTATTATTATTATTATTGTTGTTGTTGTTGTTGTTAATGTTATTATTGTTACTGATGTGGTTTCAGCTGTTGTAATTGGCTTGATGTAATTTGAGTCATAAGCTCATAAATTCTAATAACTGCGTTATTTATTTATGCTCTCTACCTGTGTGTGTGTGTGTGTGAGTTTGTGTGTGTGCCTGTGTGTGTGTGTTGTTTGCCTGCGTGCGTGCGTGTGTTGGTTTGTTTGCTTGTGTGTGTGTTTGTGTGTGTGTGCGTGTGTGTGCGTGTACGTTGTTTATGTCGGTGTTTTATTAATGTTAAAAAAACTTTGTAACAGGAGAATTTGAACCAGATGCGTTTCAAACTTTTCTATCAAAAATTTAAAATTATAACTATAATTAATAAAAATAATGATGAATAATAATATAATAATACTAATTAATATTTATGATAACTTTATATAATAATTTAAATATATACATATATATGTATGTAAATATATTTATTATAGTACTAATAACGTCTTAAATAATTCTATGATGACAACAGAACAAATTGATTTATCAATTAATGAATATTATCGAGGTGAAAACTAAAATTAAGCAATAAATTTTGTTTTAAAAAATTATTAACTATAATTTTAAATACATAATAATTATCTTACCTACAATTTAATATGTCAATAATTAACCAATTATCATCAGTTATAGTTATAATTAATTACGATAAATTATGAGTATAATTATTCAACAATGGTTATATGGTTTAAGTAATTAAATTGTGACACATTCGCTCAAAAGCAATGCTTCCACGACCAGCCAATAACGGCGCTTGTATTGCTTTAAATATACAATAAAACATACGTACGTATATACATACAAACATACATAAAAACATACATACATACATACATATACGCAAACATACATACGTACATGCATTCGTACATACATACATACATACATACGAAACGAAACGAAACGAATTTTTATTTGCTTCTCAAAATTAATCTAAAAAAAAGAGAAAAAAAGAATTCTCTCCCCTTTATATCAATAGGAAGAAGACAGGATGACCACAGTAGAGCTCTTTTCAGAAACTCATCGAGTGTGACCACCTTGACATAATTTTTAAAATGTTATAAGTTTTCAACAGAATTTAAACGTAATTTCAAAAACTAAAAATTTATGTTTTAAACTTAAGTAAATATTCTTTTAACTTTTTTTTAAAATTGTTTAACGAAATAAATTCAAAATTAAATCCACTGTTTAAAATTTCGTTCCAGATTCTCGATCCCTTGCAATACATGTGAGAGAACAAAATATTCGTTTTCGATTTGTTAGAGACAAGATTATTTTGTTGCCGACATTGTTGTTTCATCCTGAAATAACTGTTAAATAAATCAGGTAATCGATTGGTTAACTGTTTATAAACAAAAATCATCAGAAAGTAAATGCTGAGTTTCGAGAAATTCAAGTTTCGCGTGCTGTTGAACAATGGTTGACTGTGTTCAAATCGTTTGGATCTCGTTATCAATCTAACTGCTCTTTTGATTAATATTTCTATTGGTAAGGTTGATGTGTGGTACGATGAAGCCCATACAATGTTGCAGTAGTTTATTAACGGAATGCACAGGGAGTTATACAAAAGATTCAAACAGTTTTTTGGCAAAAATGATTTTACTCTGTTTATCATTCCTATTGACTTTGAAAGTTTGGATGATACTTGTTTTATGTGATGTTTGAAGGAGAGTTTTTGATCGAGCAGCATGCCTAGAAGTTTTAAACACTTTGTTTCAACAATTGTGTTGTTACTTAGGATGATTTTATACGGCTCCTTGTAATTTAAATATTGTACGGGTCCAAAAACCATCATTTGGCTTTTTGAACTGTTAATTGAAAGTTTATTGGCTTCGAACCAAGAGATTATGTTTTTTAACTCTCTGTTTGTTTTCTCAATAAGTTCTTTCATTGATCTGCCGCTGCTAAAAACATTCGTGTCATAAGCATAAATTACGTAGTCAAAAAACGCTGATGCAGCTGGAAGATCGTTTATGTACAATATAAATAACAAAGGACCTAGGATGCTTCCTTGAGGCACACCGTTGTTGTTTCCGAGCAGACTGGAAATTTCATCGTTCACATAGACAAATTGTTTTCTTTCTGTTAAGTAGCTACGAAACCAATGCAGTGATGTATTTCTAAAACCGTACTTTTCCAACTTGTTGAGCATGATGTCGTGGTTGATGCAATCAAATGCTTTCGACAGATCTAAGCACGTTCCAATGACAAATCTCTTACATTCAGTATTGATGCCAATCTTGCGAACTAGTTCTATGATTGCTAATTCTGTAGAAAATTTCTCTCTGAAACCAAATTGGGAATTTGACAAAATATTATTTTTTTGCAAAAAACTAGTCATTCGTCGGTGCATTAGTTTTTCAAGTATTTTTGAAAATGCTGGCAAGAGTGATATAAGGCGAAAATTTGATAAATCTGTTTTTCCTTTAATTTTTTCAATAGGAATTACCTTGGCGATTTTGAGACAGCTTGGAAATTTGCCCTTTTCAAAAGATAGATTTATCAAATATTCTAAAACAAACACAGTAGAATGAATCGTAGAGACGACAATTTTTGTTGGTATGTCATCGTAGCCACTTGATGTTTTTTGTTTCAAAGATTTTGTTGTTGCAATGATCTCATCAGCCGTTGCGTATCTACAAAAAAACGAGTTGGAAACAAATGTCTTGAAGTAATTCTTCCAGTGAGAATTCCGTTGAACGAGCTTCAGTAAATTCGGTGCTAATTCAACAAAATAGTTATTTAAAGCATTTGCTGGGTCAGGTATTTCAATTTCTTCATTTGTTAATTTTTGTATACTATCGGGTTTTACGTCTTTTCCGTTTTTTAACTCGTTCAGAGCAGTCCACGTTTTTTGCTATCTCCTCTATATTTTTCAAAAAGATGATGATAATAATTTTTTTTAAAGATTTATTTAGTTTATTACAAGTTATTTTAAGGCTTTTGATATTATTTAAATTATTATTATTAGGAATCAAAAGAAACTTTTTGTAACTTTTATTTCTTTTTGTGATGAGATTTTTTAACTCAGAAGAAACCCAAGGTTTGTTTTTTATTGTTTTTATAATAGTATTTCGATTGGTAACTTGACAGCATTCACGAAACATTCCTGGAAAATAGTTATAAAAGTTTGGAATGCCTCTTCAA